TGGGGGTAAGGGGAGGGGGTGGGAGGGGGGAGAATAGGGGAACCCATGGCTGATATGTAGAACTGAATGGTATTGTAAAATAATATATATATATATATATATATATATATATATATTAAAAAAAGAATATAAAAAAAAGACCCAATCATACCACTCTTGGGCATATACCCAAGGAATGCTCAATCATACCACAAAGATACATTAAAAAAAATAAAGCTTAGAAGGCCATCAAGGACTAGGGAGATGGTTCAGGAGTCAGGAGTGCTGGCCGCCCTTCCAGAGGACCTGGTTTGATTGCAAGCACCCGCATGACACTTAGCAACCACTTGTCACTTCAGCTCCCTGTGATGCAGTGATTGGACACCCTCTTCTGCCCTCCTCAGGCACTAGGCATGCACACACATGGTTCACAGACATATACACGGGCAAAACACCCACACCTAAAATAAAAATAAATAAATCTTCAAAAATATTTGTAAAGAACATCAATTCACTTGTTTTGTGCATTCAAATGTGTGACAACATTTTACTGAGTCCTTTCGCCGCCCCAGGTATTGTGTCAAGCATGGCAGTCGTGGTGGAGCACAGAGGGGCCTGCAGTCTGCGGAAGAGAGAGAGAAGTGAGGCAAGTGATCACACAGGACGGTTCCAGGGGGCCGGTTCTGCAGTGTTGATAGAGCAGGGTGTGATGGATGGAGAACAGTGGGAGTGGGCCAGAGCATCAGCGGATCAGTCTTCAGAGAGGCCTTCAGGAAAATTACATGGGTTTATCACCCTTTATTCAACACCAGAGCTTCCAGATTACATATTTGGAATGTTTTCATATGTATAATGAGATACATGGGGAATAAGACCAAACTGGAGCATGAAATTCACTTGCCTTTTCAAGTGTACACTTAGCACAATACACATGGACTACAAGTGTACAATTAGCACAATTCACATGGACTAAAGCTAATTTTAGCAGTAAGTATTTTCAATGCATCCCTAGTTTGGAGGTTTAATTTATTTTTTCTTTTATTATTATTATTATTATTATTATTTGCTATACTGAGGATCAACTTAGTGACTATGTTCTGACCTCGTACATGCAAAGCAAGTACCAATGAAGCACATCCCCGGGCCCTGAGCCCGTGTTTGGATGGCAGCCTACTACGTGAGATCAGATGTGGAATTTTTCAACATGGGCTATCACATCAGTGCTGAAAAAGTTTTGGAATTTAGCACATTCCAGATTTCAGACTTTCATATCACAGAAGTTTAACTTGCCTGTGAGTAAAATCCTTCAAAATGATGCTTGAAGAGAAGATGGTGCTCAGAGCAGAAATAGAGGCAGGAATAGAGGCAGGACCAGCATCAGGGATTGTGGCATGAACTGAGACCAGAAAGGCTCAGTGGAGGTGGCAATTGTGCATATCAAACAGGTTCATGGCCCAAAGGAAGCCCATGATTAGCTCTCCACTAAGGTTTGGTTAGTACCATGGACACATGGTTAAGAAATTGTCCCCAAAAGCATACTTAGTTTTAAGCCTCTCTCCCTTTGTCCTCCCAAAAGGATAAGGTCATTTTGTCAGTTCATCTGAAAAGACCTTGCACCCAACCTTTGCAGCAGGCCCTGCCTAAGCAGCTTACATTCTACCACAAGGTGGCCATAGTGAAGACCCTAAAAGGAGGTCCTCAGGGAGCTTCAGGCAGGAGCGATACTTTATTTGGGGTTTTGGTTCCTGAACTTGAGAGAACAAAAGACTCATGTAGAGTTATAAAAATACATAATGAGCCAAGCAGTGGTGGTGCACACCTTTAATCCCAGCCCTGGAGAGTTACAGAATGAGTTACAGAACAGCCAGGGCTGTTACACAAAGAAACCCTGTCTCAAAAACCAAAACCAAAATGCATATCGCCACACCCCATCTAAACTTTCTATTCATTGTGTTGAGGGTGAATCTTCATGTGTGATTAAAGTGGTCTCCAGACTGGCTACACCTTGAGAAATGTGAGAAGGGTCTATTATTAGCTTCAATTAGAGTTTATGAATCTCTAGAAACAATGAGAAAGTGATTGTTTACACACAAGAACATTTTTTTTTTCCTGAGAAGAGAAAAGCTATTCTAGCAACACACTCACAGACTTGCTAAGTCTGAACCACTGGTTCAGAAGTTCATCTAGTGTGGTTGTTGAACAGACCAGGGGACATTCCTGAGAGGTAAGTGATTTGCCTCAGTCTACAAAACTGGACAGCAGAAGGCCCAATATGCCACTTAGAGAGATAACTTATGATAAACAGAGAGAGATGAGATTTTATCAACGTACTGTGAATAGTTGTCCAATGACCCCAAGTTCATCTTTAGTGTACTGAGGTGAGTTTTATGTTTAGAGAAAGAACTGGAGCAGTGGGGTAAGGGTGATGGTTCTGCAAGTGTTCTGAAGAGGTTCTGATGGCTTGAGAAAGCAAACCGGGTCCCTGTAGACTATTAGGAGAGCTCCACAGTGCAGCCTCCCGCTGTGAATAACTGCCCTCATGTGGAGTGTGCTGTGTTCTACCAGGCTCAGCTGTTTCTGTAACACATGATGACCAAAGACCAGGGACCATGAGGCGCCTTTTGGAGGCCTAGAAGTTTGACGGTAAGATGCCTGGTCCGTTATCTTGTGCTTGTCTCCTCAAAGGAGAATAAGACAGGCTGGGTGTCACCAGTTTCTAGACAGACACCTCTTGAGCCATTAATGTATCAGCATGTTCAGGTAAGTAAGGCCCCTAGAGTAAAGGAGATAAAGACAAGACAAGAGTAGAGACGCCAGGCTCTCTTCTGTCTTCATTAACCTTGTAGGCAAAGTGAGGAGCGGGTTCTTTTCAGGAAAAGCGGTCTCTAAGTGCTTTTAAAAGAACCCAGTCATTCGCCTATATCGCCATCTCAGCCTTATCAGCTTTGGGATGCTGTCTCTAAACAGGACTCACAATCAAACAGAGAGACCACAGACCCCATTGTTAGAAGTGTTGGCGACCGAGTGGGGCTTTTATGGGGACTCACTCTGCACACATCCAGATGGCTCAGGCTTTCCTGCATTTACCTTCATTTCTTCAGCCCCGTTGGCATTGTGATCTCACCCTAGTTGAATCCCATGTCACTAAACTGTCCCACTCATTGCTGGCCTCCTTGTGTAGTGTTTCGTGGTTAGTATGTATTCTACTCGATAGTTTTGGGCTGTGTCTGGTCTACGCTGGCGTCTCTGGGTTCAGCAGCCTTTCTCAGCTTCCTCTTCTGACCTATGAAGGAAGGGCACACGAATCCCCTCTCTTCTTCCATACCCCCCCTTAAGCCATGCTTCAGGCCTTCCTTCTCTGTGTCTGGCACTGCTTGGCGGCACAGCATTAGTCAGGGATGTTTGAGCTGTCATGTTGCTGGATACCATCTTGCTGTGGGGCAGATGCCCTCAGCAGCGCAGTCCAGGGAAACAGGCTCTGGGATCTGTCCTGCAGAGCTAGCCGCAGGCAGAGGAAAGGAAGCCACTCTGTAATTTCCCCAACAGCCTCCTTAAATCTGTGGGTGACAGCTTGGGCACCTTGTCTTAAAAAGACAAGGAAATGAGCTCAGAGCTGAGGAAACTTGCCCCAGGTTGCAAATTAAATCCATGCTGATGCAGACGTGAACACAGCCTAGGATTGGAAGCTGTCCAAATGGCTGCAAGAGAAAAATCACAGCTCTTTCGAAGCCTCAAAGCATCCTACCACGGTCTCTAGGCAGTTACTGGAAGCTGTGCCAGACTTGCCCGTCATCTCTATCCTGTAAGCAAGCTGCCCCGTGATTACTCATTTTCTCTCTTGCCTGTGACTGAGGCTATTTTCTCACATCCTACTCCTGGTTTCAACCCAAGGATTTCATTTAAAGGGCGGGGCATTCCTTCACATCCCTCCACCCCAACCGGAGCCTGAAGTCTGGACCAATGAAAGCAAAGTACCTCATTTACTAGCACTAAGAACTGGCACTATTTAAGTGGTAGCAGGAATGGGCTGTGAGTCGCGTCTGCTTTCTCCACAAACGGGCACACTGTTGTCTGATCTGGGGCATCTCTGAGCTGAAGAGAGGGAAGTCAGAAAGCCTGCAGGACTCCCGCTGCCGCCATGTGCTTTGGCAAGTGTGCAAGATACATCGGATACTCTCTGGTGTTGCTTGCTGTCCTCTGCATCGTAGCTAATATTTTGCTCTACTTTCCTAATGGGGAGACGAAGTATGCTTATGAGGACCACCTCAGTCGCTTTGTGTGGTACTTTACCGGCATTGTAGGCGGAGGCATACTGGTAAGTTTCTCCGAACTGTTTTCACTACAAAATTCCTCTCCTCTTGAACGGCAGTGTGCATTCTTTCTCACGCGAAGTTTTCTGCCGTGCCTACCTGTAAATCCTATGCATTTGGTCGTTGTCGCTGCTCTTTCTTTGGAAAGCAGAATGATCCAAGGTTGGGTTAAACTTTTTGCTAATTTCATTAGATGTTGTTTTAATAAAATCTCTTATCTTAGAGTGAACTCTTTTCTCTAAAGCTTTTAGAGGCTATCGAGTTTCTGAGTGTGGGAGTGACTGTCACTTCTCATTTGCTCCAGGGAGCTGAAGAGAGGTGGTTGGTTCCAAGAGAGCAGTCTGGGTTCTAAATTATTCTCTGTTGCTTATTTTCCGGCATCTGTATAGGGAAAATATTAAGTGAGTGCACTGGCATTTTCAAGTAACTGTAGGCTTTCTCTGGGTTTGGAGTGAGAAGCAGGTTGGTATCAGTCTAATGATGGAATGTGTTGTTTTTCCACAGTTTGTTTTTAGTTGAAGTGGACAGGAATTTACTTGACACATTTAGCTTCGACCTCAACACAGATGGAATGTGGACACATTTGAGTCTGCTCATTTAAAATGCAGGAACTAAGAACTGCAAAGAGAAATTTTATGGAATTGTTGCTGTCATAGAGAATACTATTTTCTTTGCCAAGTAAAAGATGTTAAGACATTTAAACTGAATATACTCACTGTGGCATGGCTTAGCAAATATGCTTTGAATGTAAACATCATTATCATTCATGTTCCCACAATTAATACGAATGCAATTATATGAACAAACATAGTCACTGCTTAACATCCACTGTGCTTAGTGTCTTTGGACTTAAACTTCAAGTAGTTTATCCTTATTTGAAGAGCATCACTGCTGAGTTGAAACTTTTTTTTTGAGACAGAGTTTCTCTGTGTAGCTTTTGAACCTGTCCTGGAACTCACTCTGTAGACCAGGCTGGCCTCGAACTCACAGAGATCCGCCTGCCTCTGCCTCCTGAGTGCTGGGATTAAAGGTGTGTGCCACCACCACCCCTCGAAACAGTTTTTTTTGTTTGTTTGTTTTTCTGAGACAGGGTTTCTCTGTGTAGCTTTGTGCCTTTCCTGGATCTTGCTCTGTAGAGCAGGCTGGCCTCAAACTCACGTAGAGGATGCCTGCCTCTGCCTCCCAAGTGCTTGAATTAAAAGCATGTACCACCACTGCCCAGCAAAACATTTTTTTTAATAGAAAATTTTTACCTTTTTTACTTACTCAAAATGTTTCAGCCATTCTCCTCAAGATTTGATCTTCTATGTTTGACAAGGAGGAAAATCAGATTTAAAGACAGATTTTCAGATTTAACAGTGCTAACAGCTTTCATATGAAAATACATTAGGAATTCTTCCAAAATGCTCACATTTATAGGCTATTATTTCAAACTCTGTATGCTCACCCACTGTACATGGAAGCAAGCAAATGTAATATTTTTTGTTTCTACTCAGGCTTTTCCCATCATTTGTGGTATTTGGTTACTCTAATAATTAGAAATAGTTATGTTTTCCAGGAATGCCTAACCCCGCCCATATGGGCTCGGGGAAAGACAATGACTTGACTCTGCTTGCCTTCTGATTAGATACTCCTGCCAGCGTTTGTGTTCATTGGGCTGGAGGAAGACGACTATTGTGGCTGCTGCAGCTGTGAAAACTACGGCAAGAGATGCACAGTAAGTCTACTTGCGCTGTCTCCTGGTGAAAGCGCTCCTCCATTCCTGATGCAGGACTGTGGCTTACTTCTTGCTTTTTCTCTCCCTAGATGCTTTCTTCTGTACTGGCTGCTTTCATCGGCATTGCGGGATCTGGCTACTGCATCATTGTGGCGGCGCTGGGCTTGGCCGAAGGACCAAAGTGTAGTGATTCCCACGGTGTGTGGAACTACACCTTTGCCGACACTGAGGGAGGGTACGTGATTGTTCTCTACCTAGCAGCACATTCTTAAGCACCACACATAAAACTAAGTCATCTGTCTATCCATCAGCCCAATATTTCCTTACAGCAACTTATGCAGTGTGTAAGGATGGATAGGCAACCATTAACCCAGGAAAATCCTAACAACTACTGAACACATGCATTAACTTTGACCTTCCAACAGCCCTGTATAGATATAGATACTCCCATAGTTACTCCCCTTCTACAAATGAGAAAAAGAGGCAGAGAAAGATGAAGTGACTTATCTAAGGTCTCATTGCCAGAAAGAACCACTGAATCTTTGGATCCAGGCTGTCTGCCTCATGGAGTTTATGCTCAGATACTGTGTACATTAAGCACAACGATGCGGAGATCAATTACAACACATTTTACTAGTTCATAAGGAATTATTTTAATATCCTTATGTAATCAAGCCCGGGACAAACAATGCTCTCACCCTACACTTGCACTTGCTGGCTCACGTGTAACATGTAAGCACTCTTGATTTAAGTTACCAGGAGATATAGGAAAGGTCTTATCCACAATTCTAACTTCAGTGTAGTTAAGTGAGGCCCCATTGTCTTGTGCTGGAATTTTCTTTTTATCAGTTATGACAAAGAAACAATAGAAAAGCTGGTGGAAACGAACGAGTACAGTTTGTTCTTTCCTGACTTGGTTATTTTTAAAAGAAGAGATTTTATTTTCATTTTTAATTTTTATTTTTGTGTGCATGTGTCTGTGTGTGTGTGAGTATATGCGTGCGTGTGTGCGTACATGCGTGTGTGTGTGTGTGTGTGTGTGTGTGTGTGTGTGTGAATGCAGGTACCCACATAGTCTAGAAGGAGGTTTTAGGTACTCTGGAGCTGGAGTTACAGGTGGTTGTGAGTTACCAGATGTGAGTGGCAGGAACTGAATTGGGGTCCTATGCAAGAGCAGCACATGCTCTTAACCCCTTGACCATCTCCCAAGGCCTCATTCAGCTTCTTAAGTTTGAATTTTGAAAGGTTGTTTTTGAAAGACAAAAATGAAAAAAATAATAATGACTATGGATTGTACTTTATATCATTAATAAGACTGTTTCTAATGAATTGTACTACAAGGATGCGAAAAGAGATTGGGGAGAGAGAGTGTGTGTTTAATTTTTCCTTCATGAGATAAAATAAAAAAAAACATGAATTAGACTTGGGTCCAGTCTCAGTTCCACACTCACTCTCTAAGAGCAGGAAGAAGTGAATTGATTTTTCTGTAGAAAGGAACTAATGGCAGTGGTCATGAGCACTAATGAGATGATGTACTTGTGAATTGTTCATGTGAAGGGTGGCACACTGTGAGCAGTGCCAGCATTAACTTAGGATGAACATGGCGGAATGATGGCCTCTGAAGGAAAACTAGTATTTACTGGAGTTGGGGTTCTAGTGTCGCCAGTATGATTCATCTTTGTTCAGAACACCGTGTCCTCACAGAAAATGATTCATGTTTGTACAAACATGTAGAACTGTTGCATGATACTACCTCCCAGGGCAGTCATGATGCATGCAGCTGGGATGCATGGAGGGTTATGTCTATCAACACATTCTAGGAGTCATTTGTACACCTCTCCCATTACTCATGTATGCTTCTCAAAAAAACTTCCTCTTCTTCTAGATCATTCCTTATTTGAACCTGTCCAGGGATCTCAATATGTAGAGTGACTAACACTTTCAAACCACCCATTAATTTTTCAGTAGTTAAATAGAGCCAAAGAAAATTTGACTCTGTGACCTGAAAAACAGACTTTGTTCTATTGACAAGCAGAAACACAGAGCCAGAATGACTGATTTTTGTTTTGTTTTTTAGGGGTGGAGTGGTAACAGTGTGTTTTGTTTTAAATCAACAAGTTGAATATCTTATTGGCTCAATGTACTGTTCCAAATTTAGATGTCTGGTTTCAAGCTGGGGTAGGAAGAAGTGATAAGGAATTGTACCAGGCCTCTTTGTGGGCTTATGTCACTTCTTAACGTCCTCACATGGTTGAATCCTATTTCTCTGAGAATTCAAATATTCTGTGAGGTAGCAAGGGCTGACATTCTAGAGGAAATCTAACACCACACATACACCACACACACACACACACACACACACACACACACACACACACACACCTCATGATTTTTAACAGAGGGAGTTCAGGTTGTTATTTATCATGCTGTGGTTTTTAACACGCACCATGCTCCAGACATTGGGCTGATGGCTGGGTTAAAGGAGAACAGGCCTGGCTCCTGTCTCACTGGAGCTCAGCCTTGCTGAGTGGTATAAGAACAGGTCTTCTCTCTGGAAAGTGGTTTTCCTTTGTAGCCTCCCCCCCCCATCAATGCACTTGGCATGGACATTCTCAACCCTTGCTCTTCTGTGAGAGTCCATATTCTTGAAGGACAGAACCCACCATTATGTTGCAGCTCCAGTCCAGACTTGAACTCACACAGCAGTTCAGTATCTCAGTAAAACAGCTGGAGGAAAGGACTTTCACATTGTCACAGAGGCACCATGAGAGGAAAGGGCCTGGACTTGAACCCTTGGACTTTCTATTGCCAATTAACTTTCTGATTAAAAACTTCAAAAAAAAAAACTGTCAACAATTTCATTTGAAAATAAAAGCCCCTTGAATTCTAATTTGGCAGAATTTGGATAATTTTCAAAAAGGAAGGTATTTGGTATCTTAATGAAATGACCAAAATTAATACCTTAAAGCTTAAAAATCTAATGTAAAATATATTTTCCAAATAAATATTGAATATCTTTCCTCTAGATAGTAATTAAGCAATGATAAAGTGGGGGTAACAGAATAAAAATATGCTTTATAAGTTTGCTACCTTTCAACATGAATTGTTTTCATTTGTCCATCTCTGCTTCAGTTTCCATCCATCTGTTATATGACTTAGTTTTAAATATGATGCAAACATAGCTTTGCCTTTTTTCTTTCAAGAAATCTTGCGTCTTTTAAAGAATATGAAAATCTCTAATGTGAGATATTTTTTTTTAGCCATAGAATCCTAGATTCATGTCAAAACTTGTGCTTTAATTGTATGTTTATCATCACAATAACATTTGGGCTGCAGCTTGCCATTTGTTGGAATGGCAGTTGTACAAGAATCTAGCACACAATATTATGTTAATTCATTTCTGCGTTTCTGGATAAAAACTTCCCAACAAAAAAGTAGGTCATGAGATCTCCTCCATGCTCTAGTCACGTGCCTGAAGTTTCTCTTCTGACCACAGGTACCTTATGCAGCCCGATACATGGTCCAAGTGTCATGAGCCTGAGAACATTGTGGAGTGGAATGTGACCCTCTTTTCTATTCTCTTGGCACTCGGTGGAATTGAATTCATCTTGTGTCTCATCCAAGTCATCAATGGAGTGCTGGGAGGCATATGTGGCTATTGCTGCTCCCGCCAACAGGTGAGAACTTGTGTGACAATGTTGAGGCCTAGCCCTGTAGTGTTCAGTTGCCACATGGCACTGTTCTTCTCATCAAAGAGAAAAGGAAGAACCAGGCACGCTCAATCTACCAGCACTTACTCTTAGTTTGTCTTTGCAGGTAGGAATTTATCAATTCAATTTGGCTTCAGTGCTGAGTCTCACAAACTCAGTTATCCTGGTTTGTAGATGGCTCTGTGAGCGCAGGAACGCTGTTGTTGTTCGAATCTTAGAATGCCTTATAATAAAAAACCCAGAGCCAGATATTAGGGTGAAAGCTGAAAGATCAGAGAAGCAGAACAGCCAGCCACTAATTCTTACCTCTATGAAATACTCAGTCTAAAGACTGTGAGTTCGTATTTCCTCACACCTTATATACCTTTCTCTGCCCCAGATATCACTTCCTAGGATTAAAGGCATGTGTGCTTTCCAGTACTGGGATTAAAGTTGTTTGCCACAACTACCTGGCTGTTTCCAGTGTGGCCTTGAACTCACAGAGATCCAGACAGATTTCTGCCTCCTGAGTGATAGGATTAAAGGTGTGTGCTACCACAGCCTGACCTCTATGTCTAGTCTAGTGGCTGGCTCTGTCCTCTGGTCCTCAGGCAAGTTTATTAGGGTACACAACGTATCACCACACACAGTACCTCTTTCATGTCAATCCCTGTAAGTTTCACTCACCCCACTCTAGTTACAGCTACACATGAGTGTCCACGATGCTTGCCCCATGTTCCTAAGTACACATGAAGAATAGTAACCATTATGGATTCCATCAGATGTAACACTAAACTCACCTTCCATGGGAGTCTGACTCAGGCATTAAACAAGATATTTAAGATCACTCAGGCAGGAGGTAACAGACTTCAATTCTTAGCCCAAACCCTTCCTTCCAACCTATATGCTGTACTTCCTGTCCTGCTGGGTTCTCTGTGATTCTGCCCTAATAAGGAGTAACAAAAATGCCTACATACTAAGCATGGAGTACAATTATTAGCCTTTGAATAGCCTTGCGAAAGCAACTTTCTATGTGAAAGAAAGCCAGGAAGCTCTGATTTCCTGGGGATATGACTTAGGAGTGAAATATCTACTTGTTTGTAATGGAGAAAGTTATTTTTTCCTTATCTTCCTAAAAATATATATTATTGACCAGATAGGAATTTAAGGTCTGGCCCATTTGGGAAAGTTGCTGTTTTATGTCTTACCCTTTAAAACAAGATGAAGTAAGCAAACGTATTTCATTTATATTTTCCATCCCATGCCATGTATTCCTCTGATTCAGTATCTTCTGACTTTCCTTGAAAATAAGGAAAAACAAACAAACAAACAAACAAACAAACAAACAAACAAACAAACACAAAACTAATAAAAACCAAAGGTCACTGCTACCAGGAAAACCTTTGCTGTAAATATATGGGAACTTTCTATACATTTTGAGAGGGAGTTAGAACACATATCTAGCTTTCCCTATTGGGCAAGTAACTCAAGATTAAAAATTCCTTTGGGATCCTGCCAAGTTTCCAAGAAAAAAGCCAAGTTGGAAAACATCAATATAGCATTGTTTTTCAGGCAACTGAGGGGAAAGAGAACAGAATAAAACCTTTGGGAATGATTCCCAAATGCAAACCCCTACTCACTCTTGAAACTCATAGGAGCATAAACTCAGCTGCTTCTGGACTTCCATGCATTTGGGGTACAGGCAGAAGGATTCATGGACAGAACTGGTTCTGTGCTTTGTGAGGAGAGATAACCTCCTGAATTGGAGGCAAGCACATGGGTCCTCTTCGGAGACAATGTAGAAAGGGCTTCTTCCTAACTTTTAGGACGATCTGTTACCTTTATGTGCAAGACAAAAGATGCTCTCACAGGACAGGACATCTAGTCCACAAGAGCTGTTTCCCAGCTTGGTAGCATTTGATTTGAAAGGTTACCCACAGTAAGCCCACACAAGGGCACAGTTTCCATGGCATTATTTTAAATTCCTCCTCCAGATTAGAGACCCACACAAACACACTACAAGCTAATTCTGTATCAACATCCCGCAGTTTCCCTGAACACTTTCTGTAATTTTCCTGGGGAAGAACGTGGGTCGGGTTTGTTAGGAAACATTTTGTGAGCCTTGTCTGAGCTCTAAGCGTGAGGCTGGCTAAGTTTCATTCAAAACTGAGGTGGCTCTATGCTATGTTTGCTTTGAATAGGGACACAAAGTACACAAATTTCACTGTGTGTTGACACGGATAATAACCTAATGTAAATTTCATTTTCTTTACAGCAATATGACTGCTAAAAGAACACAAGACAGAGAGAGCCACATGCTTCCTTTATTGCATTGTAACTTGTATATTTTACTCGTGTTATGAAACTTTGTACTGGTGTATCATATTCCATACATTCTGCTTTTATAAAGAAATGTGCTGACATCTTCGTATGATGTCAGTGTTTGCATTTATCAAGCAAACTTTGTTTTAAAGAATGAGGCAACAAACTGCACTCACTCTGGAGGTATTTCACAGACTGAATGACTGTTCTCAGCATAGCTGAGATAGACTTGTCAATATTTAAGATAAAAATCACATTTAACTATTGTGCATATGTGTACTTGTTTTTTAAATAAAAGATCTCCGGTTTCCTTTTCAAGACCAAGAAGAATCCCAAACCCTGAAAAGATGTTTTTTATCTGTTTTCATGGTGTTTCCTATTTATATGTATACAAGTCACTAAGAGGCCCTCAGAGGTGAGAGAAAAGCACTTGCCTAGATTTGGAAATCTCATTGAGAAAGCGGTAACCAAAGTACGTGAGAGAAAACATGTAAAGCTGCCAGTGGCTGTGAATGCTACTAGATGCTGAAGTTTTCTATCATGTAGAAAGCTTTTTGCCCTTCAAAGGCAAAGACTGTATGTCAAGAGGAAGCCAGGATAGTTGGACAAGAAGGGAGATGGGAAATGGAATAAAACAAGATGTGGAAATGGGATTGGTGGAGTAGGGGTGGAAGATCACATGGGAATGCCCTCAAACTTGCTTGTTGTTGAACATAAAATGAAGTACTCTCTACCACTCAGCTGTCATTTGGTTTTTTTATGTGAGAAGAGGCAACCACTCTGGTCAGGTAATTGATCAGTCATGTAGAGAGGACATCTTCCCAACACTTGGGAAGATCTATTACCTTTTGTGGAAGACAAAGTATGTTTCAGAGTGCAAGCTTTGGGTTCCGGAGAGCTGGTTTCTAACTTGGTAGGATTTGATTTGATAGGTGACCCACGGTGAATATACCCAGTGGGACACGCCAATGGTGTGGTCCTCCAGCTCCTGCTTTCCCCTCCCTGTCTGTGGTCTACAGGATGAATGGCATCTATGCTGAGGTCTTCTTTTCCTCTGGGTCCTCTCTCCTGCTTTCCCTGTCTTATCCTCTCTTCTACCTTCTTCCTATCAACAGATGATCACGGCTATGCTATCTCTTGAGGCTGTCAAGCCAGCTAGGTATCTCTCTTTTCTGCTGGGTGCTGCAACAATCAAACTCCTGGGTAAGGTAGCATGTTTTTTTTTCTCTCTTAGTGCACAAACTACATTTTTTGTTTGGTTTTATCTTGTTCTGGTTTTGCTTTGATGTAAAAGGATTTCTTAACCCACTGCTTGGCGGAACTACTCAGAAGGAGCTAGAATTATTTATTTTGCCCACAGTTTCAGAGGTTTCAGTCTGGGGTCACAGGCTGCGCTGATCCTAGGCTTTTGGGAAAGGTGGTAGGAGCGTGGAGAGGAGGACACTGGTCACTTCATGGTAGATAGGAAGCAGGTTGCGTAAGGGACTGGGGACAGATATAGCCTTCAAAAGCACGCCCTCCAACAACCCACTTCCTCCAACTAGGTCCCACCTCTGAAGTTTCCACCACCTCCTAAAACCATCCAGGGACCAGCTGTTAAACAGATGCATTCAGATCATCATAACGTCTGGGATTTTATACAGAGGGTTTAGCTTTGGTTCATTGTCCTGGGCAACAGAGAAGAAATCTAATAAGAGTTTTACTCACTGATAGACAGGAGCACTCTTCCTTTGGGCAGTAAATCTGTTGTGATTCCTGACCCAGAGTTCTACCATCTTTGTGCTAGGATCACTCTGGCAGTCTGGTGAAGCCTGAAGACTTTTTTCTAATAATACCTATAAACACATAAAATAAAATATATGGACATAAGTAGTAAACCAATACATTGGACTATTTTATCAAAGAAATTAAAATTGGGGCTAGAGAGATGGCTCAGTGGTTAAGAGCACTGACTGCTCTTCCAAAGGATCTAGTTTTGAGTCCCAGCGTTCACATGGCAGCTCACAACCATCTGTAACTCCACTTCCAGTGGACCCTATGCCTTCTTCTGGCTCCCACAGGCACTGCTTGCATGTGGTGCACAGACACATATGTAGGCAAAACATCCATCCACAAAAATAAAATAAAAAATTTTAAGATAGAATTATATAGTAGCTGTCTTGATATCCTACTGTGTGGCTTCACATCTGTAGACAAGCAGACAGTTGTCCATGTGTTCTAGCTAAAGCCTAGTAAGTAAAACAACTTACACCTTTAGAACAAGATGTCAATTAAACTGAGATTTTTGAGGAACCATGTTCAGTGTAATATGAAAACATATACGAATATGCTAGATCAAAATGTGACATTAGTTTCAATACTACTTTGATTAATTGCGTGTAGTCATAATTAAAGGAAATCTAGTCGGCATTTTGGTTAGAGGCTTATAAAAAGTAATGCTGCTATTGCTTTTACACTGAAGTTTGATCCCATCTCCTAAATATCTACCCATGGGCTGATTGGGAACTCTTAAGCACGGGGTTAAAATCTCTGCAATAAAAAATCCAGAAAGATAAGATAAAGATCAGAAGCTGCCTGTGTGTAACCCAATGAAAGAAAAGGATCTAGAGAACAAAAAATAGACTCTCTTCCTACCAGTGGTGAGGGTACAGATGCATAGCTCTGCCCCAGGAAACTGAAGTCTTTTATAGACCCCAATGTAGCCTCAATTGTGATTTGTGGCTTCAGTGCAGAAAAGAATTTCAGGATTAGCCAATATAAAGATGAACTGGTGACTTTGTTTAAGAGAGTTTAATATAAGCTTTAAGACTGTGGGTCTTAGAAAGCTTTAAGACTGTGTGCCACTTAGAAAGAAAGGCATACCCAAGTGTCAGTATGGGCTTCTCAAGAGAGAGTGTCAGAGAGACCCAAGTGTAGGTATGGGCTTTCCCAGGAAGCATAGAAATTGTCAGGGTTAGTCATACAGATCATTTCAATGGCTCTCAAATTGCATCTTAAAAGTTGGTTAAGAGCCGGGCAATGGTGGCACATGCCTTTAATCCCAGCACTCTGGAGGCAGAGGCAGGCAGATATCCATGAGTTCAAGGCTAGCCTGGGCTACAGAGTGAGTTCCAAGAAAGGCGCAAAGCTACACAGAGAACCCCTGTCTCGAAAAATAAAAATAAAAGAAGAAGAAGAAGAAGAAGAAGAAGAAGAAGAAGAAGAAGAAGAAGAAGAAAGAAGAAGAAAAATTTGGTTAAGAAACTGTTTTTTCCTTTTTTTTTTAAAAAAAAATAAGAGAATTATAGGTTTTTCCAGAGACACCTGGGATGGAATTGTAATCTAACATGGTAAAAACCAGGAGCTCCTAGAGCTTGACAAGGGGTTTAGTGCATGTCCTTTTCATGTAGATTGGTTTCTGACAAGATTCCTAGAAAACTGCAGGTTTCTAGATGGAAAGGGAAAAAGCCTAAAGCACTTGCCGTCTGTCTTAGTTAGGGCTTTTATTCCTTCGAAGAGACACCATGACCACAGCAACTCCCATAAAGGAAGGCATTTAACTGGGGCTGGCTTACAGGTTCAGAGCTTTAGTCCATTGTTGTCATAGTGGGAGCATGATGTCGGGCAGGCAGACATGGTGCTGGAGAGGTAGCTGAGAGCTCCACATATAGATTGGCAGGCAGAAGGAAGAGAGTGTGACACTAGACCTGGCTCGAGCATTTGAAACCACAAAGCCCACCCCAAGTGACATGCTTCCTCCAACTAGGCCACATCGACTTCAACAAGGTCACACCTCCTGATAGTGCCACTTCTTATGAGCCTATGAGGGCCATTTTTCTTCAAACCACCACAGCGTCACCCTGGAATTCCTGCTTCTCCCCCAGGTGAGGGGCTCCTTTCCCTTCTCACTCCCCCGTAATTTTCCACCTCTCCATTTTGCCTCATTCCTGAGAGACAAGGAGCTTCAGAAAAACACAGGGCATCCAGGACCCACTGGAAAAGGAAGGTATGAGAACCCAGAAGGGAGACAGTTACCAAGGGCGTGGATCTGAAGGAGGCTGGGAGCCAAAACCGAAGTTTCCAGTTTCTCATTTCCCAAGGCCAACAACTGTACCAAGGTTATAAGTAAGGCAACAGAAAGAAAGAGAGTTTATTAAGAATGGCTGTGGCTAGTGACCAGGGAAATGCATGGACTCAGAAGCACTGGGCCACAGATCTCAAGATCCTTCCCATCCCATCCCATTTTGGAAAGCTTTTAAAAATGAAAATTTTATTTTACTTTTCAAGTTATAAGCTATGAGCATGTAAAAAAAAAATACAGTCCTGTCCATACAAAAGCAGTTCCAGCTATTCAAAAGTTACAGAGCATGGAGAAAGCACTCCACAATGGCTCAGTCCCATGACTGTTAGTTGTGTGCAGCATGGGATTGTTCTGCACTATGGGAACAGAGATGTTTAGGCATTCAAAAACTGAGAAAGTAATTCAAAGTAAGAGTAAGTTCACTCTGAGGAGAGCAGAATTTATATATTCTGATAAGCCCTAGAAGAAGGTGTGGCTTGAAAAGTTCCATCCTCTTCTACTTAATTCAGTTTTAATAGTATATTACAATATAGTGTGCTCTTCTGGGCAAAAGTAAATTGCTAGTTTTAAAACTAAGTCAGACAAAAATTAATTTGTTTGCCATATAGGAACCATGCTAGCATAGTTAGCCTAAAACCATTTAAAATATGCAAAGACTTTTAAAACTTAACCCAAAACCAGTGATACTTTTTTTTTTTCTCTTCAGGAGTTAAGACATACATTTAAGTTCATCATGAGTGTTTTCTCTCCATATTCTGTTTAAAAAACAATGTGTGAGCCATGTATCAGCAACATGTTTTAATGTAGCTCTATTTACCCAAGGCCACACAAGTCTTTTTTTCTTTTTGGTTTTTCGAGACAGAGTTTCTTTGTGTAGCTTTGGAGCCTGTCCTGGAACTCACTTTGTAGACCAGACTGGTCTCGAACTCACAGAGTTCTGCCTGGCTCTGCCTCCTGAGTGCTGGGATTAAAATCGTGTGCCACTGATGCCTGGCTACCTTTCTTAACTTTAAATAGATAATATGCTCTTCAGAACAGAACACAAAGTGTTCATTCGAGGGTGGGTAACAGGGAGCCTTCAGGCCTAAGTTTATTTGGAAATCTTAGAAGTTAAGTGTGTCACAGAAAGAAACGCCTTGGCTTCCACCTTTTCTGTCAGATTCTACCACAAATTTAGACTTAATGCTGACATTTTCCTCTCATCAGTTCAAGACCCTGCCCTTTACAGGTTATCCACTCAGTCCCCCGCCTTGTCTTTATTTGCATGCCCCCCTGCTCAGTGCAAGGTCTCACCACACCACACTGGAACTCAGCCACTCCCACACTGAACACCATCCCTTCCACTCCTGTGACTGACTCTCCATCATCCTTACCTTAGTGTCCAAATTTAAGTGACTCAAAGTTTCCCTTCGTTTATGTATTCCCTATTAACAGACATTGCTATCGTTCAGAGGAAACAACGTTCACAAGATAGCCTACATCATTGTGCAGTTCTGTTTTTAGCCAGTACTCTGGGTCTGAAATGCTCTAGCCATCTACATTTGTCTAGAACCCCCTTGGAAGATTGTACCAAAATAATTCCTTATTATCTGGCAACACAAAAGCATAATAAAAACTATTGTAGATTCTGATCAGTTGAAGAGCAGGCATGGCTTCTGAATGTCTGTAGCTTTTTGTTTTTTGTTTGTTTGTTTTTTGTTTTTTTTACCACATCACAGATGTCCATCTATATAAAAAACATTTCCTGAAGTGAAATCTAAGAAGATCATGGTATGCTGCCATCATCATGTAGGTTAGGTTTCTGATAACATTTCCACCACCCTTTTCTCATGTAGAGAACTATGAGGCTCAGTGCAGCTCTTCAGAACAGCAGATTGTATACAGTGTGTATATCTACACTCACTTGATATTTTTACCTTTAGAAATTTATTTTTTGGAACATCATCAAGAATGCTCACAATAGTTTGGATCCCAGAGATTATCGTAAGCCCACAGGCTCCTGTTTTGAGTGTTCCCAGCTGATGGAATTACTTGGGGGAGGTTATGGATCCTTTGGGAAGTGAGACCTGCCTAAAAACAATAGGCTTCGGAGGGTGAGCCTTTGAAGGTTTTAGCCAAGGCCCTGGACCAAGCCCCTTTCTCTACTTCCTGTCCCAGCGTGATGCAAATAGTCTCTGCCCCATGTTCCCACCACTTCCCTGGCATAGCTCCCCTGCCAAAATGAACCAAACTCTATGCATCTGTGAATGAGAATTGTCTTTTCTCCTTTTGCTTTCTGTCAGGGATTTTTCATCACCATGACAAAACTAATACTGTCTGATAACAAAGAATTGTTTTGATGAAATGGAAGCAGAACAGTGTGATCAAAAGGAGATACTAAGTCAGAGTAAGTAATATAGACCATATAGCCATTAAAAAGCTTCAAAAAAGTGGTTGGAGAGATGTCTCAGTGGTTAAGAGCACTGGTTAGTATTCTAGAGGACCCAGGTTCAATTCCCAGCATCCACATGGCAGCTCTATAGTTGTCTGTGAACCCCAGTTCCAGGGATCCGACACCTTACTTACTTACCATGGAGGCAAAACATAAAGTAATTGTTTTTTAAAAGTTTCAAAACAGAGCATAATGCATTCTATATTTATATCTATATGTGCATAGATATTTAATATGTTAAATGACTTTAATCTACTTTTAGGATTTTTTTGTCTTGATTTAATTGACTTATTTAAACTTTCTGAAGTTCTACAATAAGTGTACATTGCTTTTAGAAAGAAATCAAAATGAAGAAATGGAAGATGCATACCAAATAATCATGTAGGAACCTACCTACAGTCCCTAAAGCAATCTCTTTAAGTACAGGAGAAAGCCACTGTCCTTATAGTCAGACAGAAAAATCATTCTAAAGGAGACACCAGGAGGTAATTACACCTGCAAATAGGTGGATGGATGGGCCAGGCAAGGCTGGAAGGGTTGCTAGACTAAAAAGATTAGGGGAGCCCTAATTTCTGCACAGTGTTTGGAGAACATTGGCATGTAACTTCTGCTTAGTCTAGTACCTTTTTTCTTTCTTTCTTCAAGCATCTATGTATCTTCTTTTTAAAAAATGAAATTGGTGGTGCACTCTCACTTTGAGCATTTTTGAAAGTCAGAACTTTTTGTAATACTGGCTCATTTTCCTTGTTTCTGTTTTCCGAAGTCAGAGAAGAGTGTAAGAGCCAAGGAGAAGCAATAGAAACTCCAACTAAGACACTATGGCCATATCCATCACCAATTCCCCATTCCACTCCCCCCAAGACATCTCTCTCCACTTTCTGTCTTCTCCTTAAAACAAAACAAAACAAAACACTGAGTCCAATTAGCTCTGCCTATTAAGCAGGTCTTGTGTAGTAATCATGGCTGCAGTTAGTTCATAGTTCATGAGTGCAGTTGCCACATCATGTCCGGGAGGCAGCACTTCACAGGGCTCCTCCCCATTCTCTGGTTCTTTCTGCCCTCTCTTTTGAAACTTTAGCAATGGGCACAGGGTTAACACAAACAACCCATTTAGGACTGAGCACTCACACTGAATTTTGACCAATTATGAGATCTCTGCATTAACTACTACCCACTGCAGAGAGAAGATTGAAGAAAGCACTAATAACTCACAGGGTTGTTTCTTTGATGTTTAGTTTCTTATATACTTCAGATGCTAATCTTCTGTGAGATGCATATCTGGCAAGGATATTCTCCCATTCTGGGTGCTGTTTCTTCGCCAGATTGACTGTTTCCTTTGCTACACAAAAGATTTTTAATTTCATGAGATCTTATTTGTTGATTATTGGCTTCTGTATAAGTTAGGGTTTCTATTGCTGTGATAAAGCACCATGGCCAAAAGCTACTTGGGAATTAAAGAGTTTATTAAGTTTACACTTCCACATCACATTCCATCAATAAAGGAAGTTAGAGTAGGAACTCGAGGTGGGGCAAGAACCCAGAGGCAGGAGTTCATGCAGGATGTGGAACGGTGCTGCTTACTGACTTGCTCCTCATGACTTGCTCATCCTGCTGTCTTATATAACCCAGGACCACCAGTCCATGAGTGGTGCTGCCCACAATGAGCTGGGTCCTCCCCTATCAATTATCAACCAAGAAAATGCACTATAGACTTCCCTATAGGCAACTTTTTTTTTTTTTTTGGTTTTTCGAGACAGGGTTTCTCTGCGTAGCTTTGCGCCTTTTCTGGAGCTCACTTGGTAGCCCAGGCTGGCCTCAAACTCACAGAGATCCGCCTGGCTCTGCCTCCCGAGTGCTGGGATTAAAGGCGTGCGCCACCACCGCCCGGCTGGCAATTTTTTTTTAAAAGACAGTGTGTCACTGTGTAGCTCTGCTATCCTGGAGCTCACTATGTAGACCAGGCTAACCTCACAGAGATCCACCTTCCTCTGCCTCTTGAGTGCTGGGAGTGAAGGAGTGTGCCCCTTTGCCCAGCTTCCTATAGGCAAATCTTATGGAGGATTCATAGCCTCATTTCCTGAGTAATTGGAGTTCCTACTCAGTCTTTTGCTATGCCCACATCTTGACATGTACTTTCTACTGTTTCTTCTAGAAGTTTCAGAGTTTCAGACCTTATGTTGAAGCCTCCGATCCATTTAGAGTTGATTTTTGTGAAGGGTGAGAGGTAAGAACTTAGTCTTGTTCTTCTTTATGTAGATATTCAATTTTCTAAATATCATTTGTTGAAGACATTGCCTTTCACTCAGTGTATATTCATCTTCCCTGTAAAAATTTGGGGGCTGTAGTTGTCTGGCCTCATAGTTGGATCCTCTATTCTATTCCATGGCTCTATGATGCTGTTTCCATGACAATGCAATTCTGTTATTATTACTATGGCTCTGTAGTGTAATTTGAAATCAGGTATAATGTAACTGATGTAATCCCCAGAAATACTCTTTTTGTTCAGGATTACTTTAGCTATTTAATCTTTTGCGTTTCTGTATGAATTTTAAGATTTTTTTTTTAAAGATAGTGGATTTTTTAAAAGATTTATTTATTTATTATGTATACAGGAGGGAGTGCCAGATCTCATTACAGATGGTTGTGAGCCACCATGTGGTTGCTGGGAATTGAACTCAGGACCTCTGGAAGAGCAATCGGTGCTCTTAACCTCTGAGCCATCTCTCCAGCTCGAATTTTAAGATTTTTTTTTCATTTCTAAGAAGAATGTCACTGGAATTTTGGTTGAAATTTTTAGATATTGATTAATATTCTGCAATTTTACTGAATTCATTTATTTCTTTTAATAGTTTTTAGGGTGGGATCTTTGGAGTTTTATAAATAATATAGTATCATTTGTAAACAAAGATAATTTAACTTCTTCCTCTTTAATTTGGATTCAAACATTAATTTTAAAGATTTATTTATTTTATTCTATGTGTATGAGTGTTTTGCCTGCATGTATGTCTGTGCACCACATGTTTGTCTCCTACCATCAGAGGCCAGAAGACAGTGTTGAATACCCTAAAACTAAGTTAGAGATGACTGTGAGCCACTGTGTGGGTGATGGGAACCACGTCCTCTGCAAGAGCGGCAAGTCCTGCCAACTGCTGAGACATCTCTCCAGCACTAATTTGGAATAAAAAAAAATCTCTTCTTTTGCCTAATTATACTGACTGAGTTCCATTGCCTTGTGAATAGGAGTGACATGAGTGAGCTCCTTGTCTCTGGTCTTACAGAGAAAGTTCTCAACTTTTTACCACTGGGATTGCCTAATTTGTTGAGATACTTAGTTATGAAAAGACACAGAAAGTTGTCAAAAGATAATTGTCTGATTCCACTTTTCATTTTGCTTGTGTGGCCTATTTCATCTATTAATTTGCATATTTTGACATGCAAATTAATTAATAGAGTAATAAAAATCCTAAAATTCATGCAGAAACTCAAAGGACTGAATAGCTAACTCAATCCTGTACAAAAAGAGTATTTCTGGGGATTACATCAATTACATCATACCTAATTTCAAATTACACTACAGAACCATAGCAATAAAAAATAGCTGTATGGTTGTGAAAACAATGTATTTCAAGTGTTCAAATGCCCAAGACTAATGGGGGACATCTCATTCAAGCCACTATATTTCTTCATTTTCCCATTCCTCAATTCCTCATCCTCTCAATAAAATTCCCTGACCCAAGCTATTAATTTGCATATTTTGAACCATATTTGTGTTTCAGGGAGAGTTCTCACTTCATTATGTGTTGAGTATGCTTTGTTAGGATGGTCAGGGATTTTCACCCTTATGTTCCTAGGGGATATTGATTTAAATTGCACATCTTAAATCCTTATCTTGCTTTGGCATAGGTGTAATGCTGATTTAATAAAATACATTTGTAGTATTTTTCCAGTTTTTGGGAGAGTGAGAAGTATAAGCACTAATTCTGTCAATGTTTAACTAAATCCATCCATGAAGTCAATGTTATGTTTTTTCTTTGAGTATTTAGAAATATACGTATAAGTATTTTCAAATATTCCATGCACATATCTATAGTGTACTTTGATCACATTTGCCCCTTTGCTGCCCTTTTTTTAATTTCCTCTTCTGTCTCATCCCTTTCTACATCCCTAGTAGTCTTTCTTTTATTTTCATGTTGTCCCTACATTCCACAGCATGTCATGTCTGTCTTGTAAGACTAACTTATTTCAGATAACATGGTAATCTACAGGCCCATCCATTTTCCTGCAAATGGTATAATTTCCTCCTTCACTGTGGCTTAATAAAGCTTCATTGTGTACATGTCTCATATTTTCCTTATCTGTTCATCTACTGATAGACACCTAAACAGATTTCATAATCTGTCTTTCTATTAATCTCTCCAGATTTTCTGTTTCTTCATGATTTACTCTTGAAAGGTTGTATTTTTTAGGAATTTTTGGGTTTTTTTCTAAATTATAAATTTTCTCAATGTATTATTCATAATAGTCTCTTATGATTGCTCATATTTCTATAGTATCAATTGTAATATCTTCTCTCTCATTTGTACTTTTATATGCTTGGGTTCTCTCTTTTTTCCTGGTTAGTCAAAATTATAGGTCAATTGCTTTTATCTTTTCTGAAAACTAATTTCTCTCAGAGGTTTTTACTGTTAGATTCCTGGTTTCATTGCTTTTTGCCCTGTCTTTATTATTTCTTTCCCTCTGAAATTTTGGAGGACATCTCATTCAAACATCTATGCCTTTTCTTCATTTCCCCACTCCTTTTTCCTCATCCCCTCAATATCATTCCCTGCCTTAAGCTCTTTTGTTCTTTTGGGTCATATGTCCTTCTGCCCTCCCCTCCCCATTCACCAGCACTTCCTTCTCCTCTTTCTTGGTCTCCTTTCTAGCTGTTAACAGCTCTACTCACTTTTACAACCCCTCACGCACAGGGATACATGTATTACAAGCTAGGATCTCCATATGAGACAGAGCATGCAGTTTTGTTTTTCTGAGTTTGGGTCACCTCACTTCCCAGATCCATTTATTTTCCTACAAATTTCATAAATTCATTTTTCCTTACAGCTGAGTAAAATTCCACAGTGTATACATGTACTCCATTTTTTTTTTTTATTCATCTGCTGGTAGATGTCTAGGCTGATTCCATTTCCTTGTTACGGTCAATAGATAGAGCAGCACTGAGCAAAGGATGAGCAAACACCTTTGCAATGGGATATACAGTTCTCTGAGTATGTGCCTAGGAGTTGCACAGCAGAGGCATATGGCAGTTTTGAGTAAGCTCTACACTGATTTCCATAGTGACTATACCAGTTTATACTGCCATCAGTGAAGGAGGGACAGCTCCTTCCCCCCATTTCCTCACTGCTGCCTGTTTCCTTGATGACAGCCATTTAAGGTGATTGTCTGACTGATTTCTACCCTGCTGATTTTGTTTTGATATCGAGGAGCCCTAAACTGGCCACATCTCCATCTTTATTATGGTCTCTAGCACATCATTGTAACTCTACCACCATGTTCAAGTGTGCCTGGTTCAAGCTTCTTTCCTGGATAAGATGCTGGAGGCATTCATGGACCTCATTAACTAGCCCAGCTGGGAGGTCATCTTGGGGGTTGTGAACCATAGAGCACAGAGGTATCTCAAGTCTCTGTGCTAGAGCTCATCCTGTGTTCTAAACGCTTTGATGTATACTGCTATAAATGCAACCTGGCCATGGGGTGAACTTCATCAACCAGTTCAAAATATTAAAATGCACTGGCACAGAGACCTCATTACATTAAGGGCCAAAAACAACACAGATAACTTGATGATAGTGTTTAAAACACCAAATCAAGAAAAAGTTTCAAACTGAAATGCAATTAATGGATTTAGATGTTGAGCACTTTGGGATATAGGAGTGTAGATATGTAGTAAAGATGCTGTCTGGTGATCTGCACATATATATGCTGATGCCTTGGTCACCTTGGAGATGCTGTTGTAATATTCTATGTAAACTATGGGGTGACCTTCTCTGCAACTGAAAGCATTAGGTTGTCACACACAGGTATTGTTTTATTACGAGGTGGAAGCTGTTACTATGGAGATGAAGGGGCCAGTTCAGCTAGCTTTTAAACTGAGGTACCTGCATTTATTTATTTTTTAACAAAAGCCACTCCATTGTCTCCTTCAGTAACACTCAGCATGTCTGTCGATGTAACCCTTATTGTAGAGTATAAAACATGGCTGACGTGGGACATTTAAACTACTGTTTGGCTCCCAAGATCAATGATTATCTTAGGCACTGACAGTATCTGAGAAGATGGGGCTTCTGAGGTGGCAGTGTGTTCTGCTTTTACATCACCAAATGTGACCTGAGCACATATGTAGATATCTTCTGTAAGTGACCTATTTGCATTCCCTGGTGTCTAGGGATATGAACACTAAAAAACATACTTCCTGGATATTGTTTTTCTTTTGAAAAGTGCCTCTTGGTTTTACCAGTTCCCTTGTTATTTTGTTTTTGGCTATGTGATATGTATAGTTAAAGATATATATATATATATATATATATATATATATATATATATATATATTCTAGCAAATATACACATTTGGTAGAAAGTTCCTTTTTAGACTTATTTTTGATGAATCCCAATATTTGGTGATGTTGTGTTTTAATTTTTGTCTCAAGTTTTTTTTTTATAAATTTCTATTTTGGTTTATTATTAGAGCCATTTGTTATTCAAGAATGTATCATTTAATTTCCTCATGTTTACAGAATTTCTAATGATTAGCAGGGGAGGCTACATGTGGGTAGGAACAGCTGTGTACACAGAGATGGGAGGTCTATGAAGACTGAACTTCTACTCAGTTTTGTTGTGAACTTGATGCAGTTAAAAAAAAAAAAAAACAACAAAAAACAGTTTCTACTTTATTCCAGCAATTGCCAAGGCTGAGAATTACTACTTCTGCACAAAGTGTCACCCTTATAACAGTGATTCTTAGATTTGAATGACATCACCAATTAATCCTCAATGGATGTTAGATCACAATCATCAATTAAAATCACTATGGCACTATTAAAAGCTATGTGGGTTGATCAGCCCCATCCTCTGAAACTGTGGTCCCTTCATGTCAAGAGTTTTAAAAGCTCTTGGGATGATTCCAGTAAGCAGAATTATGACCACCAGAAAAGATGAATTCTGGAAACACACACGTCAAATTCTCCAGTCTTGCACACGTGCAAATGCCATGGGTCTTTCCCAGTACTCTCTTCCAATGAGCCTGGACACCATTTTAGCACCCTTTTCTATTCACCTTGTTTTTCAGGCAGTGGTAAAGAACTAGAGTCACCATGGAGTCTGCTTTGGTATCACTCTACCTTCAAGTCAGTCAGTCTTGTTAGATCTGACCTCCCTCCCCCATTTCTGCCACCACCAC